CAGCCTCTCCCTTGCCTTTTGTAGCAAATGCAAAGACTGTTAAGGTTGAGCGCTGTGTGTGTTCTCCCCACCTAAAGGGAGACAAACCAAGATATGGGGCAAGGCTCACACCGGAGCGGCTCGTGCACACGTCTTTGAATTTGTAGTGACTGTGGCAGTCATCAAGCGGCCCTGCATACTTCTACTCCAGCTGTTTGTGCATAAACGGGGGTAAGGGAGGGGCAGGGGAAAAACTACGGCGTCAACTGCAGTCAAGCAGCTCAGCTGCTCTATGCGTAGCTACACAGAAACATGTGGACCCTTGACTAGGACTCATCCCATAGCCCTTTGCTTCGTTGCTAGTTACGTGCATAGGATCGTTGGCTGTGGAAGCGTTTGAAAGGGTCGTTTGCTAGTGGTTAACACTTTGTAGTAGCATCGTTGATCCCACAAGAAAGCGCTATGCGCGTAAAGTTGTAAAGTTGTATGAATGCCTGTGCTTGCCCGTGTCAGCTGTTTGTGATGATAGTTGAAAATGAAGAATCTCCGTATCGTAAGCACTACAGACAACACAGAGGGAAGGAAGATTATGCTGTTGGTGGGCTTGCCGCAGCCAATACAGCTGTTCGGTCTCAGCGACTCCCAGCACCGATCCACTTCGAAGAATCTATAGAAAGTACAACATATGTTGCTCGGGATCTCCCGCATTCGAAAATGCTTCTGCCGCAATCTAGCAGGAGTAGCTATGGCTACCAGCAGCAATGAAGACGAGCAACAGCAGTGACAGCCACTTGGCAACGCCGTCTATTCCGCCTCAAACATCTGGCTGAACTGAGGGTGGAAGGTCGCTGTTGTGGCTGCATCAGCAAGCTCAATGTCTGTACACCCCACAAGAAACACAACCCAAGTTCAGCCTGATACAGAGGTATGTTCCACAAGTCACAGGTCCTATTCTAGTAACAACAATATATGATGTTGGCAGAGGAACTAAATGCACAGTCATTGCGCTTCATGATATACGGGCATGAATATGTTGCCCATCCGGAGCAGATAGAGGTAAGGGAGAAACGCATGATTCGAAAACCCACCTAGGTTGTCACCTAAAGGGATAGTCTGGTCGTGCTCTCCCTGCTTGATTGTCAGGTCATCTTGCACTGTTGCCACCACTTCCACGTAACGGCAGGGAGGCGGGGTCCCACGAAGGAAGCACTTTACACATTTGCCTACAGCAGCGAAATTCCCAGAATTCGGGTGGACCCTAGCACAGGTGTTGCTGTAACAGGAGGATTTGTGAGCTCTCCTGCACTTTGCTAGCCAGGCAGTCGGTTGGTTTGCATGCACTATGATCTGACTGGAGAAGTCCGCGCAACCCGGGTGTCCGTTTGGGTTACGGTGTACGTACCTTCAGAAGCCTCAAGGATAATTGCGTCTTCCTCGGCTTCTTTTATACGCCCAATGAAGCGAATTCGCTTCCCAACGAAATCACCAATTCTGCCGTACGGCACCCGCCTGCACCCGACAGCAGAGCGAACAGAACGGCAGCAATGAGTTGTTCAGCTCAACAAGCCAAATCACGTTGATGAATTCTGCAAATCCACCCGAAGCACAGAAACGAGGATAAGGACGAAACCGCTGCAGAGTGGCGGTCCGCGGAAACCAGAAAAAGCGTGCCATTAGACGCCAGGGAAGGAAGCCACGCATCTGTACCTGGCAGCTTTCGGAGCCTCCATTTGCATGCATGAAGAAATATAGAAGAAAGCGAAAGGAAAGGACGAACTGATGGAAACTGACTTACTAGGGGGCCCTTCGTAGAAGGGCTTGGGGGGTGGGGTTGTTGTGAGCGCTGCAGAGTGCAGCGAAAGGCGACAGGAAACAGGAGCCTGCTATTACCGTTTCTTCCTCCTTCGTGCAGTGTTTGTCGTTTAGTAGTCATTTGTGGAAAAAAGAAGATTGTACTTATGTTCCTCTAGTCGTAAACGCTGGCACCACGCGCTGCCCCCTACTGGCGAGGAGGCAAGCAATGTGCCGTTCGGTGGCTTCGAGGCCCTGTCTAGGCGAGTAGTTATAATGACGCAGTTACATTTACAACTTGATTTACTGCATCAAGTGTGTAAGAACGCCGAGTTGGTCGTCTAGTTGTAAACGTTCCTGCGGCGACCGAGGACAGGTGTTCGCTGGAGTGCGCGCGAGCGTATGTTGTTCACATACAAGTTGAAACTTGAGTTCCACCAAAACAAGTCGATATTTCGTGATCGTTCATGGGTTTCTGTAAGCCTTTAAACTCTGCCTGTGGGCCTCGTTGCATGGAGAGCCTAACTTTCGTCAATACAGAGTCCTTCTGATGTTGATTCGCGTACTCCTAGTTGTGTCCGCACTGGATACTGAGGTTGTTACACACATACATTTCTATCAGCAGTTTTGTTTCAGGTAGTCGTCGAAATTACTTGTTATAGCATTGGCACGCTGAGCGGAAATCTACATATTATGCCGCCGCTTCAGAACGCAGCTTCACGTCCTTTAGCTGGTTTTTCTGTNTGAGCGGAAATCTACATATTATGCCGCCGCTTCAGAACGCAGCTTCACGTCCTTTAGCTGGTTTTTCTGTACGCAGTGCTTCTGTGAAGGCCTGAGCATTGCCCAATTGCTTCTTGGATAAAGGAAAAACCAACATGGCTAAGTGAATGAACGGCTGGAAGTGAATCAACATGGTGGAGTGTCTGCCAGTGCTAAGCAATCAGGAACGTACTCAGGGTCCACGCTAAAGGCAAATGAAACCTCACGAACATCTTATACAGGTCCAACATCCTACCAGCTAGATTACTTCGTGTGCAATCTCTCCGTTCCCAACCCCAAAAGTGCATCGAAGGAACTGGACGGACTGCAGGAAACCCGTGCCATCAATAAGCATCCTTCACTAAAGAAAAGCAGGATGGACAGCTGCGATTTGCAGTTATGCTGCATGAGGGCATGAAATGAGCCTCCATGCACCCGCCACTGTAGCTTAGGGAACCGCTATCTGCTGAGGCGTGTGCGGAACCGTGTGTTCTGATTGGTAAAGACAGCTTCACGGGCCTGGCTAGCGCCAGACAGCTGGAAGAACTGGTCTTCACTTTGGTGCTTGGTCTGCGCCTTGCAGCGCGACTTACCTTGATATACATATTGACTCTCCCTGGTGCAAACACAAATGGTATTATCGATATGTAACAACGTGCGCATTTGCAATTATCAATTCCCCTTCTCCAGAATCCCCTTTAATACAGGTAACCCCTGTAAGGCAGAAATCCGTGCCGAGCCGATACACTCGTCGCCCCTATAAAAGGCAGCGATCTGCCCAGGGGCGAGACCTACATCGGGCTCCTCCAGCAGCAACTCCGCGTCTTCATGAGACGCGGAAAATTGTGATGAGTTCCCTGAGAGTCTCCCTGAGAGGTCATGTGAGGGGCCCTTCGACGACCACAACACCTTGAATCTGTGCTTTGCCACTCCGTGAAAACCTGCGCTGTGTCTGACCTGCACAATGAGCCCAAAGTTTTCGTTCGCATCTTTCTTCAAAGCTCCATTCGGGGGATTTCCAACAAGCACTGGATCGCCTTCCTTTGCAGCAGCAACTGCATTTGCTGCGACGGCTGCTGCAACGGAGCCCTCACTACGGAAAGATGTCCCTTGAGCAGCCATTGAAGCAGCAAATTCAGGAGGGGTTTCTCCCCTTAGCCAACGTATGTTGTCCACTCTTAAACAGGTTCTTAGTTGTCTAAGTTTCAAAGCCAGAAGGGCCCTTCGGTCGACTTTTGCAGCAGCCTCTAGAAGGCCATCGTGGCACTTATGGGAATCCACGGCATCAGAAACCAGAGTTCGGACGCAGTCTTCTGCTGCTCTCTCTTCTTCTTTGCTGACTACAAAAAGGGCGTTGGCTTCAGGGACCTTACCCACTACACTCCAAGGCCCTGAAAGTGTTGGAGGGCCACCCGCCGCTCCACGACAGCGGCGGCATAAGCGGGGATCTAGAAGAGGCAAGACCCCCTTCTGCTGCCCTGTAGTAAAGGCCCAAAGGCCCTTATGACGGCCAACAAGCGTCCCTGATGGAAAATGATA